GCGATCACCAAATCGAGGGACTTTGCTACTCGAATAAATGCATAACATTTTGCACATTATTGGAGAGACGTTACAGGTCACTGCCATCGGGTAAAACTCTTCAGCAATTGGAGATCGAAGTGGAAATGCGTCGTTTGTTTATCGAGAAAAATTTACGCGAGAATAAAAGGGCCGTGAAGCATGCCAAGAAGGCAGCAATGCGTAGAGCCGAACATAGCCTCGCGAAAAAACAAAAACAAGAAGTTAAAGTTTCAAGTGTCGAAATAATGCCGGGACTCGAGTCAAACGATGAGACATCATCGAAAATTGAATCAACTTCTGCTGATAAATTGAAAAAATCCGAGAAATCACCGAAAATCGAACCGAAAGTGGAAAAGTTGTCCGATTTAGTTGCAAGATTGAAAAAATCGACCGAAACCGAAAAATCACCGAAGGTTGAGGGGGAAATTGAAGAATCGTCAAAACCCGGAAAATCGTCGCCGGAAATGATAGCAAAAATAGAAGAATCAACCGAAGCGGAACTGAAAATCGAAAAATCACCGGAAGTTGCGGCAAAAATCGAAACATTTCAAGATTATTCCCTGAATGAAGGGAAAAATAAAAAACACGAAGATCAAGAGGAAAAATCCGATCGTATAATAAGAAAAGCATTACGTAGAATAGTTCGAATTGATGGGAAGGAGGAGAAACAGGAAACAGTGCGAAATGGGGAAAATTATTCCTCCGAGGTGAAAAAGGATAAGAGGGAAAATTTTTTGAAAATTGGAATCGAAAAGGAAACAATGTCAACCGAATTGGGTAAATTTGAAGAGAAGGGAGAAGACGTAGAAAGGAAATTAAAAGAAGATGGGGAAAAATTAAAGAAAGCTAAAGAAGAAAATGGAAGAAGTGAAGAAAGAAAATTAAAAGAAGATGAAGAAAAAAAGTTAAAAGAAGATGAAGAAAAAAAGTTAAAAGAAGATGAAGAAAAAGTAAACAAAAAAACAGATAATAAAGAAAAATTAAAAGAAGACAAAGAAGCTAAAGGAAATAACAAAGGAAAATTCAACGAAGCAAAAGAAATTGAAGAAGGAAAATTAAAAGAAGATAAAAAAATAATATTAAAAGAAAAAACAGACAGTAAAGAAAAATTAGAAAAAGTTGAAGAAGGAAAAATAAAAGAAGAAATAATTCCATTAGGAAAATTAAAAGAAGATAATAAAGTAACATTAAAAGAAGATACAGACAGTGAAGAAAAATTAAAAGAAGTTAAAAAAGAAAAAATAAAAGAAGACAAAGAAGAACAATTAAAAGAAGTTAAAAAAGGAAAAATAAACGAAGACAAAGAAGAACAATTAAAAGAAAAAAAAGAAAATGAAGAGAAAAAAGCTAAAGAAAATAAGAAAGAAAAATTAACCGAAGCAAAAAAAATAAAAGAAGAAATATCAAAAGAAAAAAAAGAAGATGAAGAAGAAGAAGCTAAAGAAAATATAAAACATACATTGAACGAAAAATTGAAACCAGAAACAAAAAAAATCGAAGAAACAAAAAGCGAAAAAACAAAAATCGACGAAACAAAAATTGAAAAACTTCCCCAAGAAGAAAAAGGAGAATCATCAAAAACCAAAAATCCCCCACCAAGTGGCAGTAAAAAATCAAAAAATAAAAAACAATCAAAATTAGAAAACGAAACAACAATTCTCGAAGCCAACGAAGAAATATCAAACACAAAAGAAATCGAAAAACCGGAAAAAATTCCCGAGGGTAAAAAAGCGAAAAATAAAAAACCAGCAAAAAACGAAAAAGAAATTCCCATTTCAGAAGAAAATCCCCAAATATCAGATAACGATTCAGGTGCAATTAACAAGAGGGGAAAAAATAAAAAATCCAAAAACGATCAAAATCCCAAGGAGAAGGAAATAAATCTTCAAGAAGAAATAATAACAAAAACTGAGAACGTGAAAAAATCAAAAAACAAGAAACAAACAAAACTCGAGAAGGACGAAAAAGAAGAAGTGGATAATAAAAAAGAATCCCAAGAAACACAACAAGAATCGAAGGAGGCAACGAAGAAAAGTGAAATCACTGAAATGAAATCACTGAATGAAAATATCGAAAAGAAACCAAAATCAAAGAAACAAAAATTGAAAAATCAAATAAAATCTGAAATCGAAAATACTGCGGTAGAAAATGCTTATACTCTGTTAGTCGAAAGAAACAAACTTCTCGAGGAACATTTATTTCTCATGCGTGAAAATGAGAAATTAAAGAAGGAAAATTCAAAATTAAGAGCTGAAGGCGAGAGATTGAGACGTGAGAATAATGATTGTAATGACGATTTAATAAATAAAACATCATTGTGATTTCTACTTTTATAATAATAATAATAATATATCAGGAAATAATTTTATCAATAAATGTGATATATTTCTATTTTTTTAATTTCAAAAATATATATATTTTATAATTGCAGACATTAATATTAAGTTAATGAAAAATTAAGCAATTTTTTAATTAGAATATTATTTATTATTTTTTATTAATATAATAATAATTCGATTTCTTGGGAGCGCGTCACATATAATTAATATTAATTCTATTAATAATAGATTACTATTCATTAATTAATATTAATTTCCCCCTTTTTTTTACAATTGAATAATTATTTTCGTTAATTTTTAACGACAGACAATTTTTAAATGTTTTTAGTTTTCTAATTGTAAATATTATTTGAATTATTCAATTATTTGTAATTATACACGATTATTTGTAATTATAAAATTATTTGTAATTCTACGACTATTTCTAATTATATACAATTATTTGTAATTATGGCAACTATTTGTATTGTAGCATTTATTTTTAATTGTAACAATAATTTGTAACTATAACAATTATTTGTGTAATTAAATTTATACAATAATTATTGTATGAATCGAAATTTATTTTTTTGAAATGTGCTGAATGAAATAAAAAATGTTTAATTTTGAAAGTATTTTGAGTATAATTTTTTATTTTGGTTTCAAAAATTTTCCTCAATTCAATGATTTTTAATAAGTATCTACTATTCTAATAAAATTTTCCAAAAGAATTCAATTATTTAAAAAAAAAATTTAATCAAATTCTACACAAACATTGAATTATTTGCATAAATAATGAAAATTTCACAGGAATTCTTATTTACAAATTTTTTTTGCAAATTTCTTTTCAATTATTTTCTATTCAATTATTTTCATAAATAATAAATTTTTCACAAGAATTTAATTAATTTTCAAATTTTTTATCTTCACAATAATTTAATTATTTTTATAAATAATAAAGCTCATCAGAGAATTTCAATTATTTTTAATACATTTTTAATCGAATTCCTCGCAAAAATTAAAATTTAAAAAAATTTTTTTATTAAAATCCTCAAATGAATTCAATTATTTAAAAATTCTTTATAAATAATTGAATTCTCGTGGATTTTTGCAATAAAAATTGATTTAAAAATGATTTTTAATTAATATTTTAGATCATAATTGAATACATACAATTTAATTAAAAAATTTTAGAATAATCGAAATTTCGTAAAATTGAATTATAAACAAATGAATTTAAAAATTCTCAAAGAACTTTTTCAAAAATTATTAAAAATAATAATTAATTTGAAGAAGAATTTTTTAGTTAAAAATTCTAGAAAATAATAATTGAATTTAATTTCAAAAAATTTTCCTCAATTCAATAATTTTTAATATCCACTATTTAATACAATTTTTCAAATCAATTAAATTCCCAGATATTAAAAAAAAAATTTTGATAAAATTGTACTCAAACATTTATTATTATTTTCATAAATAATAAAAATTTTACATGAATTTAATTATTTACAAATTTTTTATCAATTTCTTCGCAGTAATTCAATTATTTTCATAAATAATAACTTTTTTTTTACATGAATTCAATTATTTCCATTAATAATAAAATTTTTTTTAGGAATTCAATTGTTCAATAAATTATTTATTTTTGTATTTAAATAATTGAATTCTAGTAGGATTTTCTAAAAAAAATTGATTTAAAAATGGATTTTTAGTTAAAATTTTAGATAATAATTAACTATTAAAAGCAATATTTGAAAAAAATGTTTAGAAATAATTGAATTTTGAAATTAATGTTTTAGAAATAAATTTTATTTAAGAATTTTAGACAAAAAATTATTTTTTTTAACTGATTTTTCTTAAATTCTCGTAACAATTGCAATAATCTTTATAATTATAATAAAATCCTTCTTCAAAATTTAATGATTTTCAATATCTACTATTTTAACAAAATTTTCCAAAATAATACAATTATTTAAAAAAAATAATAAAACTTTTATTAATTTCAAAAATTTTTTTAAATTCTCTTTATAAATAATAAAATTCTTCTCTAAAATTCAATTATTTTCAAAAATTTTAATAAAATTCTTGGCAAAATTTCAATTATTTTTAAAAATTTTCCTCAATTCAATTATTTGCAATATCTTCTATTTTAATAAAATTTTCCAAAAGAATTCAATTATTAAAAAAAACATATATTTAATAAAATTCTACGCAAACATTTAATTATTTTCATATTGAAAAATTTTCATATAATGGAAATTTCGTAAAATTGAATTATAAACAAATGAATTTGAAAATTCTCAAAAAACTTTTTCAAAAATTATTAAAAATAATTGATTTAAAGAAGAATATTTTAGTTAAAAATTCTAGAAAATAATAATTGAATTGAAATGACGAAAATAATATTAAAGAAGTTACAGTAACAATATTCTTATAATGTAAAATAATAATTTTATCTCTCGTTCATATTTTATAATAATTTCTTACAAGTATTGTTGATTTTCAAAAAGGTTTGAATTTGAAATTTTTGAAAATATTAATTTAAATTCTAAATTTTTCTAAAAATCAATTATTTTTAAAATTTTTAGTTAGAATTCTTGAACAATACAATTCTATTAACAATTCTATTTAAAAATAATCCTAAAATGTCAAAAAATAAAATTCTTTAAAATATAAAATTTATTTCAATATAAAATTTGACAAAATTTTCAATGTTTTTAAACGTTGAAAGTCTTATGAATATATTCTCTTATAATATCACCGCGTATACAATATTTGTTTACGAAAACTTTTTTTTCTGTTAATAATTAACAGTTTATTCTGATTCTTTTATTAGAAGAGATTCGAATTTTTTATTCATTAGATTTATTAAAATCACAGAATTTCGTATTTTAAAAAAATTTTCCTCTTTCGTTGCGTAAATTCTAAGAATGTTGAACATCATAAAAGCGGATATTTTTTTTAGTCATCAAGAAGAACGAAACACAAAATAATAACAAAGACAATATTGACAAAGCTATCAAGAGGAAATAATATTTTAGCTCGAGGAATATTTCGAAATAGTGAAATTGTCATCAATAAAACAAAAATTCAAAACTTTGATTCTGTAGCTTCTTATCACCAAAACTGTTGTAAACTATTTAGGAGATTTTTAACTGGTTTATAAATGGTTACGAATTGCGAAGGTATATAAAATTGGGAGTCAGTTTCCTGATGACACGTAAATGGTCGACAATCATTGTATCCCTTGTAAATTAATTGAAAATTAGGCAGATTAATCGACAAATCCCCAATTGACTGAAGATAATCTTTTTCAGTTAATGTTGTAACAAGAATAGGACATGAAAAATTTCTCCATTTTTTCACAATACTTGTAAAATTATCTCGACGAGGTTCGCCACGAAGTCGAGCATATATACTATTTCCAATTCCAATATTTAAGTAAGCAATCAAATGAGGTTTACAATTAAACATGTACATTTCATAAAATTCTCTTGTTTCGAATGAAAATGTTTTGTTCCCATCACTACATTCCTTACACAAAGTATCATCATTCACGTCAAATTTCGTATTCTCAATATAAACAATTTTCAAATTTTCAACACTTGGTAGAAAATGTAGGATAATTTCCCAAATATTCCCAAATTTTAATGCAGTTGATACACCATCAGCAGCAATATAAATTACTAATTCTCGTGGAATTCCATTGCCGTAGATCCTTTGTAAACTATTGACAATTGTTAATGGAATACTAAAACAATCGGATAATAAAGCTTCGTCTAATTCGGAAATATTAACCTTCGGATGAATATACTTTTCAAAAAATGCTTTCATCGATGTTGGCGGTGACTGATTAATGCTTAGAATTTTTGTTCTCTCCACAATTGATTTTAAAAGACATTCTACGGTAGTTTTTGTTTTAAAATCTTCTTTGGCTGCTCCAAAAAGAATTAGTGGACAATATTCAATGTGAATTTGTCTGCCGGAATGCATATCGTCCAACATCGCATTTGAACAATAAAAGGATATCATCTTGCATCCAGAACATTTAGTTATTTTTATATTATCATCTCCACATATCAAACATTTATCATCATCAGAAAGAGAGACACACATCGTATTCATCTAAAATATAAATTATAACAAAAAAAAATTAATTAATTAATTAACATTCTTAACTGTTTAGAGGACAAAAAACTTTATCTACCTAAGAATCCAACGTAGCATATTTTTTTTTAGAAAATTTGCATCAAATTTTAATTATAGCTTCTAAAATATAACAACTTATTATATTATGAGTCAAGAAGACTAAGTCTTCTTGATATGAGTATAAAACATGAAGATATCCTAACAGTCGACTCGAAATAATCAATTTCTTTGTTTTATACTAATTAATATAATTTGGGCTTTGTTATAAATAAAAAAAAAATTTTTTTTAAATAAAAGATGATCGTGTGATAAAATCATTATTTTATACTAAAAGAATATTGGTACTGTAACTTCTTCAAAATTAAATTCATCATTTCAATTCAATTATTATTTTCTAGAATTTTTTACTAAAATTCTTCTTTAAATCAATTATTTTTAATAATTTTTGAAAAAGGTCTTTGAGAATCTTCAAATTGTTTACAATTCAATTTTACGAAATTTCGATTATTTGAAAATTTTTCAATTATAGGTATTATCTTCTTCATATAATATATAGTAGAAAATAAAAACTTGAAATAATTTTTAAAAAAATTCAATAAATTAAACTTTTTCAAAAAAATTAATTCTACAGAATTGTTAGTTAAAAATATGAAAAATTCATATTTTCAAAGATTTTAATTTGAAACCTTTCAAAATTCAATTATTTCTAAAAAATTCACTTAACAATTCTTTTAATATTCAATTATTATCTAAAATTTTATCAAAAATTCATTTTTAAAATTAATTATTATTTAGAAAATTCTATGAGAATTCAATTATTTAAATACAAAAAAAAATTTATTGAGTAATTGAATTCTCACAAAAAATGTTGTAAACAAATTTTTAAATAATTGAATTATTTCGACAAATTTTAATAATATTTTTAAGAATAATTACATTTTTCGAGAAATTCGATTAAAATTGTATTAAAAAAAATTGAAATTCTAAGATGAGTTTTATTATTTATGAAAATAATTGAATTCTTACAATGAAATTTATTTAAATTTTTGAAAATAATTGATTTTTTGCGAAGAATTTTATTACTTTTGAAAATAATTGAATTATTTTGGAAATTTTGATTATAATCGTAGATAATTGAAAATCATTGAATTAAAGAAACTTTTGAAATTTTGCCAACAATTTTATTAAAATTTTTGAAAATAATTGAATTTTAACGAAGAACTTTACTGAAAATAATTATAATAATTGAATTTGTGAATAATTTTGTTATTTTTGAAGATAATTGTATTTTTGAGAAGAATTTTATTACTTTTGAAAATAATTGAATTATTTTAGAAATTTCTATTAATATAATAGTAGATAATTGAAAATTAATGAATTGAAGAAAATAATTGAAATTTTGCCAATAATTTTATTACAATTTTTGAAAATAATTGAATTTTAACGAAAAACTTTACTAAAAATAATTGTAATAATTGAATTTTTGTGAAAAATTTTGTTATTTTTGAAGATAATTGTATTTTTGAGAAGAATTTTATTACTTTTGAAAATAATTGAATTATTTTAGAAATTTCTATTAATATAATAGTAGATAATTGAAAATTAATGAATTGAAGAAAATAATTGAAATTTTGCCAATAATTTTATTACAATTTTTGAAAATAATTGAATTTTAACGAAAAACTTTACTAAAAATAATTGTAATAATTGAATTTTTGTGAAAAATTTTGTTATTTTTGAAGATAATTGTATTTTTGAGAAGAATTTTATTACTTTTGAAAATAATTGAATTATTTTAGAAATTTCTATTAATATAATAGTAGATAATTGAAAATTAATGAATTGAAGAAAATAATTGAAATTTTGCCAATAATTTTATTACAATTTTTGAAAATAATTGAATTTTAACGAAAAACTTTACTAAAAATAATTATAATTGAAATTTCGGCAAGAATTTTATTAAAATTTTTGAAAATAATTGAATTTCGAAGAAGAAATTTATTATTTTTAAAGATAATTTAAAGTTTGTAGAGAATTTTTTCTATTAAGGGCATTTGAACCTTGATGACGTTACAGTTTGTGCAAAGCATGTGTGACATCATCAAGGTTCAAATGCCCTTAAAATTCCCAATTTTTTGCAAATGTAGTTGATACAAAATTCCTGGGTAAAAATCGTGCCACGTGGACGCATATCAAAAATTCTTTTACAATAAAGTATCAAATTAATAATATCTCATTTTCATACCTTTTAAACGTCTTTAATAATTACACTCGTTTTTTTATTCTGAAATTTATTTTTTACCAAACAATAATTTTGACCTCGCAATAATAAAAAAAACTCCTTGAAAAAATTTCCTCTCGATTATAATTAATATTTTTTATATAGATCAAATTGATTAAATGTATACATAGATAGACAAGTTAGGTAATTATTTTTGAATATTTCTTTCCGTTAGTATAATTATGTACCGTAATTATTCTTTGCCACCAATCAGCATTAATTATTTTTGTAATTTTGTGGCGGAAAGTTTAAAAATGTATTTTAGTCAAATATTTTTCAAAAGAGAATTCAAAATGTCGGAGAAAAAAAATCCAAATGATTTTTTAACTTTTTTCGTCAGCTATTTTGAATTTTAAAAAAATCTGACCTTATGTTCGTAATCAGCGACCCCAAAAACCCCCGAATAACAAGTTACAGGCAAATCCGAGTGATATTTATCTTCTTCAGCCACCATGTTGGATCCGCCATTTTGGATTTTTAAAAGCAAACATCTTATTCGTGATCAGCAATACAACACCGAAAATTATTATTAAAAATATTCCAAATCCAATTTTAATTTTCTATTTAAAAGTGTTTATACAAATTGTAAAGTAAAAGTGACAGAATAATAAATAAATATTTCCTACCTAATAATAAATAAAAATAAAACCGAATAAATTAAGGTAATTTATGCTAGATAGTTATACACAATCGCCACCCACGGAATATAGCGAAACTACGCGAACTTCCTTCACTAAATTGCACACTTTTCTCCACATTACTTTCTTCTATTCGTGGGCCCTATACTACCATCACACTTGATATTCTGTGCTAACAAAACAAAAACGTCTGCCTTATTTTACAGAGAAATTTTTTTTACAAATTTTCATTGTAATTTGTAATAAAAAAGCGACTTTTTACCATCGTAGATAAAAATAAAGTAAAGATTCTCGTTTTGCCTATTTACGAAACAGTAAATTTATCACTAAACCGTGCGAGCAGCATGTAATAATTAGAATTTCTTATATCCGATTACAATTTTCTAAAACTTGAATTCCTGCGGTAAGTGACTAATTATATTGAATAATTATCAATAAATCAGTTCACGAGAACTGGAAATAATACTAAAATAACCTTTAAATTAACAGCTTAAAATATTGTGCTTTAAATAAGCGAAATAAGGGATATATTTTTAGGTTATGTTGCTACTAAATTTCAAATATGTTTTCACTCCAATTGATCTATTTTTCAACAAAATGTTTGCAACGAGAATAAAAGAAATATTTTCAATTAATGAAAACACAAAAAATTATAGCGTTTGTACATTTTTTCTTGCTTGTCAATTTTTTACTAAAAGAGATACACAAAATTCAAAATGGCGGATTCTATGACGCCATTTTAATTTTTTATATTTAAAAAATGACATAACCAAAGAGTGTAATAAAGTCTGTGACTTAAAAAAAGGACGAAAAGTTCGTAAATTGTACGATATTTAAAAAAAAATGTAATAAAACTCTCCGCAAAATTTAAATTATTTTCAAAAATAATAAAACTTATCGCAGAATTTGAATTATTTTTATTATAATTTTGATCGAATTCCTCGAAAAATGTAATTATTTTTAAGAATTTGATTAAAATTCTTCGAAAGAATTCAATTATTTAAGAATTTGTTGCTAAAATTCTTTATGAGAATTCAATTTTAAGAATCATTCAATTATTCAATAAATTATTTATTTTTGTGTTTAAATAATTGAATCTAGTAGAATTTTCTAATAAAAATTAATTTAAAAATTAATTTCAGTTAAAATTTTGGATAATAATTAAATATTAAAAGCAATATAGCGTGAAATTTTAGAAATAATCGAGAAATAATTGAATTTTGAAATTTTTTTAAAATGAATTTTATTTAAAAATTCAAGACAAAAAATTTTTTGTGAAAATTGTTCTAAACTGATTGAATTAAAAAAAAATTGAATTTTAGAGAAGTCACAAAATAATGTTTGCAGAAATTCAATTATTTTCAAAAGTAATTAAAATTCTTCGTAAAAATTGAATTATATTAAAAACTTTTTTAAAAAATTCTCTCAAAAATTTCAATTATCTTTATATAAATAATAAAATTTTTCTTCAAAATTTAATTATTTTCAATATCTACTATTTTAACAAGATTTTTCAAAAGAATTCAATTATTTAAGAACATTTGAATAACATTCTACACGCAAACATTTAATTATTTTCATAAATATAGTAAAAACTTCACAGAAATTCAATAATTTACAAATTTTTTTATAAATTTCTTCACAATAAATCAATTATTTTCATAAATAATCAAATGTTTACGTGAATTCAATTATTTTCGTAAATTAATAAAATTCTTTTTAGAAGTTTAATTATTTTCAAAAATAAGAAAACTTTTATTAATTTCAAAAATTTTTTTAAATCCTTTTTAAAATTTCAATTATTTTTATAAATAATAATATTTTTCTCCGATATTAAATTATCTTCAAAAATTTTAATAAAATTCTTGGCAAAATTTCAATTATTTTTAAAAATTTTCTTCAATTCAATTATTTTCAATGCAATTTTAATAAAATTTCTCAAAAGCTACAACAATTTCTCTACATAATTCAATGATTTTCAATTATCTACTATTTTAATAAAATTTTCCAAAAGAATTCAATTATTTAAAAATTTGTTGATAAAATTCTTGATGAGAATTCATTTTTAAGAAACATTATTTTAATTATCAAATAATTGAATTCTAGTAGAATTTTCTAATAAAAATTGATTTAAAAATTATTTTTTGTTTAAAATTTTAGATAATAATTGAATTTTGAAATTAATTTTTTTTTTGAAAAAGTTTAATTGGATTTTTTTATACTATTTGAAGTTTTTATTTTCTAATAATGTATATTATATTTAATTGAAGAATTTCCGAATATTTCGTAAAATTGAATATTGTAAACAAATGAATTTGAAAATTTTCAAAGAATTTTTTCGAAAATTATTAAAAATAATTGATTCAAAGTAGAATTAGAAATGATTGCAGAAATTCAATTATTTTCAAAAGTAGTAAAATTCTTCTCGGAAATTCAATTATTTTCAAAAATTTTAATTACTTTCAAAAACTTTCCTCAATTCAATGATTTTTGATATTTACTACTTGAATAAAAATTCCTAAAAGTATTCAATTAGTTAAAAAAAAATTTGCAATAAAATTCTACGCAAACATTTAATTATTTTCATAAATAATAAAAATTTCACAGGAATTCAATTATTTTCATAAATAATAAAACTCAATGCTGAATTTAAATTAAATAATTTAAATTCAGCATTGAGTTCTAAAATTTTATTTTATCTAAAAGTTATTATTCTAAAAAATTTTATTAAAATTTATCATAAAGAAATTAATTATTTGAATAACCTTTTCTACATTTTATTTATTAGAATTTAAGTATTATTTTTAATATATTTTTATTTCAATTTTTTTAAAGAATAAAATTATTTTAAAAAATTTTAATGAAATTTTTTGCGTAACAATTCAATTTTTTTTGCAAAATAATTTTAATAAAATTCTTCGCAGAAATCCAATTATGTTAAAAAATGTACAAAATTTCAATTATCTTTATTAATAATTGTAATAACATTTTTCTCCGAAATTCAATTATTTTTAAAAATTTAAATAACATTCTTGTTAGAATTTCAATTATTTTTAATAATTTAATTTAATTTAATTTAATTTATTTTTTAATTTTTAATATTTTAATTTTTAATTATTTTTAATTTTTTTTATTTTTATTATTAATATATTTTTAATTTTCACCAATTTTCTCGAAAAATGCAATTATTTATAAAAAAACTTAATGTTCAGTAAGTTGCATAATCTATTATTATTTAATTTAATTTCTATTATTATTTAATTTAATTTCTATTATTGTTTAATTTCATTTCATTTAATCTATTATTATTTCAATTATTAATTAATTATAATTATTTAATTTCAGATAGGAGTTTAGTGAAGAGATAAAAATGTCCAACAATTTCTATCCAAACAATTGTCATATATGCAAGAAAGCAACAAATCTAAAGAGATGCAGTCGCTGCAACATGATATCGTACTGCGGCGAAGTCCATCAAAAGGAACATTGGGACAAGCACAAGGAGATGTGTCGAATATTAACCGAAATAACGCGACAAAAAAAGCTCACTCATCTCTACGAGGATTTACAGGGATGCAAATTATTTCAATGGATTTCAGCACGCGATGAAATGAAGAAAAAAGTCTCCTCACTATTGGGTCGTGGTCTCGAGAGTTACGAAAGAGATATGCTTCAATATCCCCGCTCATGTTTCGAGTGTTTCGACACAAGACAAGATAATTTAATAAATTGCTCTCAATGTCCATTGGTCTCGACATGTAAACGTCATCCACGCTCCGCATTGCACGAAATCTGGTGCAGTGAAATGAAATATTGCCACAGCGTTGACAATGCTTTGGCGGATTTTCAAGAGTCTTTGAAGCACATACTTGGATTGTTGTTCTATCCACCGAGTTTCAAGAAACTACCAACGTCGACTCAGGAATATTTCGATAAAGTTTTGAAACCCTATCCGGAATTAAACGACGAGGGTGTGATTTACGCCTCGACGTTTGTTTACCTGCCCTTGACGATTTTTGGAGCTTTGGAAAAATTGAATAAAACATCAGCGAAAACATTGAGAATTTATGTCGACGTTGTGGATAAAATTGATCTCTTTCGAATGTTTGGCGAGACTCTATTTCACTTGATGCCTGAATTGGAGAATTTAACCGTGAACACAATAACTGGAAAAGTTTCCTGTGAAGAGGTGGCACTTTGCAAAAAATGCATCACAAAAAAGAAGAAACTAATTCTCCAGCAATTCACAATGCAATCAATGACTAAATTCAATTACAATTCGATTGATCTCGCGATCTTTAATAAACTAGATCCACCCGATACTCGAGACAATAGATTCAATGTATTCACCCAATTTCGCGACGTTTGGAATAAATACTCCTGTCCATTGGTTTTAACATCAAATACAAAATTTGAAGCCGAACGTATTAAAGATGCATATTCATTATTTTGCCCCTATCGAGGTATTATTTACGAAGGTAAAAATAATTTTTCCGGCATATGTCCGTTTAGAATGTGGCAAGACTGGATCATTGGAAGACAATCACAATTTATGTTAATTTCCGAGCCGACGATAAATATTCCGAATGAAGACACTCCGACAACATCGTATGAAATGGATGGGTTTCAAGCTAGTGCAGAGAAAATTTTTAAGAAATTCAATCCTGGCACTTGTCATGTGTGTAAATATCATAATACATCGACAATGTGTACACGTTGTAAAATGATTTTCTACTGCGGCAATAATCATATGAGAATGAATCAAATGGATCATAAGGAGATGTGTAAAGTCATATTGGGAATGATGAATGAAAAAGGAACACCGCATCTTTTCGATAAATTACAAAATACGAATGAGGAATTATGGTTGGATGCAAGGGTCAACTTTATGAAACAGGCGAAATTAAAATTGAATCGAGAATTATTGAATTTTGAGAAGCAGATATTTTTGTTTCCAAAGACGTGCTTTGTTTGCCATGAAAGCGATTTGAGTGTGCTGAAAACATGCGAATGTAGTGTAAGTATTTTTTTGGCAAATTCTTTCCATTTTTCTTATTGCAAAATAATTTTTCATGAACGAATATTAAAGAAATCATAAACGAAATTTCTTCTTTCTACTGAAGTTTTACAGAAATTTCTCAAAAAACTATAAATTCTCACAAATAACATTTTTTACAAGAATTCAATTATTTAAAATAAAATTTTCATAATATTTATTATATTTCGAAATAATTAATTATTTAAAACAATGTTTATAAAATTCTCTTATGAAGAATTCAATTATTTTCAAAAATAACCAAATGTTTCACTGAAATTCAATTCTTTTTAAACATTTTAATACATTTTTCGCAATAATTCAATTATTTTCAAATATTCTAATAAAATTGTTCGAAAAAAATCAATTATTTCAAATACAATTTTAATTAGATTTCTTTGGCATAATTCAATTATTCTTTTAGATTTTTATAAAATTTTTCGCAATAATTCAATTATTTTCATAAATAATAAAATTCTTTTCAGGAATTCAATTATTTTTGAAAATTTTAACAAAATTATGTGCAACTATTTAATTATTTTCATAAATAATAAAATTCATCGCAGGATTTCAATTATTTTTAATACAATTTTACAGAAATTGCCAGAAAAGTGTAATTATTCTTAAAAATTTTATTTCCATTCCTCAAGAAAATCAATAATTTAAAAAAACGTTTTTTTAAATTCTTTGAAAAAATTCAATTATTTACAAAAATATAAGAATTATTCAGAAGAATTCAATTATTTTCAAATATTTTTAAAAAATTTTTCGAAACAAATCAATTATTTTAAATACAATTTTAATTACATTTCTTTGGCATAATTCAATTATTCTTTTAGATTTTTATAAAATTCTTCCCAAGAATTCAATTATTTTTAAAAGTAATAAATTTCTTCTTGTAAATTCAATTATTTTTTAAAATTCTAATAAAATCGTTCGCAAGAATTCAATTATTGTCATTAATAATAAAATGCTTTTTAGGAATTCAATTATTTTCAAAAAAAATTTAATAAAATGCCACACAGAAATTCAATTATTTTTGAAGAACTTATCATAAAATTATTACTTAGAAATTAAAATTTAATGAATAATTTTACTTAAATATTTCAAAATTAATTGAATTTTAAAACAGTTGCGTTTACTATTTTCATAAATAGATGAAAACTTCAAAAGGTTTTGATTTGAAATATTATAAAATTTCAATTTTGACAGAATTTAATTAGAAATTTTAAAGAACTGAAATTTTTAAAAAAAATTTGGTTTAACAATTCAAATTCTTCTGAAATTAGTTAAATTTTTTAATACCTATATATTTAAATAATTATTAAAAATATGGATTTATAGAAGAATTTTAGTTAAAAACACTAAAAAGAATTGAATTTTGGAGAAGTTAGAAATTATTGCAGGAATTCAATTATTTTAAAAACTAATAAAATTCTTCGCAGAAATTCAATTATTTCAAAAATAATGAAATTCTTGTCAGAAATTCAATTAGGTTCAAAAATTTTATAAAAAATTCTCGTCGAAATTTCAATTATCTTTATAAATAATAAAATTCTTCTCCAAAATTCAATTATTTTCAAAAATTTTAATAAAATTCGTTTTAAGAATTCAATTATTTTCCTGAATAATAAAACTAATAGTAGAATTTCAATTATTTTTATTACTTAAATGAATTCCTCGAAAAATACAATTATTCTTAAAAATGTTATTAAAATTCTTCAAAACAATTCAATCGCAGAATTTTAATTATTTTTAATATTATTTTAATCGATTTTCTCGAAATTCGTCAAAGAATTCCCTTTTTTTAAAATTTATTGACTAAATTCTTCGTGAGATTTTAATTTTAATAAGCATTCCATTATTCAATAAATTATTTATTTTTGTATTTAAAAATTTCAATTCTCGTAGAATTTTCCAATAAAAATCGATTAAAAAATGTATTTTAGTGAAAATTTTAAATAATAATTGACTTTTGAAACGGTTTTAAATTATAATCTTCGAAAATTTGAATTTTTTTTATACTTTTAACTGATAAATCGGTAAAATTAATTTTTTTTTTTTTGAAAAAGTTAAATTGAATTTTTTTTAGAATTATTTGAAATTTTTATTTTTTATTATATTTTTAATTGAAGAATTTCCGAATAATCGAAATTACTGTAAAATTGAAAATATTAAAAAATAATTGAGATAGAATAATTGATGATTTCTAAAACTGAATTCTCATAAAGAATTTGATCAAAATTTTTAAAAATATAATTGAATTTTATCAAAATTTTTAAAAATATAATTGAATTTTTTCAAAGATTTTTAAAAATATAATTGAATTTTTTCAAAGATTTTTAATAAAATTTGCAAAAAAATTGAATTTTTCGAGAAAATTTATTCAGTTAGTAGATATTGACAATAGTTGAGTATTATTATTATTTTATTATTTTTAATACAGTTTTAATTAATTAAAATTGTATTAAAAATAATTTAAATCTTCTGACGAATTTTATTATTTATGGAAATAATTAAATTCTTTCGAGGAATTCAACAAAGATTGCATTATATATAAATTTAATTCTTTTAAACAAATTTTATTAAAATTTTTCAAAATTATTTATTTTGAAAATTTTAAATATATTAATTCATTGATTTTTTTAAAATTGTTTGAAAATTGTATTTTAAAAATAATTCTCCTTTTCTTGCATTCTTAAATTGCAAGAAAATTATTTCAAACAAAAATTTAAGAATCACAATCCAAAAATATTTCTTTTCTTTTAAAAGAACTATACCAAAATGTCTTTTTTCGTTTTTTTGCATTTTTGCAAAAAATTTATTACAAACGAAAATTAAAAAACCTTCTTGAAATTTTACTCACCATTTGTTGATTTTCTTGATGGATAATCCACTTTCTTTGTAGTCTCTTTTGTATCCATCAACCTGAAACATTTTTAGATAACGTTAGAAATATTATAGAAAAAATAAGTAAATATTTTTAAAAAATGGAAAAAATGGAAAAAATAGTAAATTTTAATTATAGGAATTGTTTTTTATAAAAATATTAAGAAAGAATTGAAAGAACTTAGTAACTTTTAATTTTATTTAATTTTATTATTTTATTAAGTTTTATTAAAGTTTATTTTGATGTTTTAATTTTTTATTTTGATGTTATGTCAAGGAATTAACGAATATTTTTATTTTCCCCAAAAAAATAGGTGAGTCTCTGCAAGCTTCACAGAGAGGACGTTGAACACAAAAATCTCTGCAAAGATTTTCAATTGTATTTAAAAATGGAGAGCAATAAGGAAAAACCAGCCGAACCATTCACAATAACAGCCGCATTGAGAAGGAACAAAACTAAAACTCTCCCCTCATCAATTGGAAAATTTATGGATCAATATTTCCTTCTAAAGAGTTATAATGAAGAAAGACAAAAAATTATTGTCTCCGATCTCCTAACACGTCCACTAACATTTGTCTATGCCGTTGAAAAATTGAAATTTCAAGTACCAAAGGAAATTTGCATTCACATCGTTGGCGCAACATGCGAGGAATTCGATCACGTTGGCTATTGGCAGACATTATTCTATTGGTTCGGTAAATTACAATTTCTCCTCATTGACTTTATTGGCAACGATATTGTTGAATATGACGAGGTCTATTTCAAAAGTCCCTACAAATTACCCGATTTCAGTCTCGATGGAAAGCAATTGAGTTTGAATTCGTACAGAGGACGCTACGACGACTATGTAAAGAGTAAAGTTTACTCAAAGCCGGATATTATAATTGGTTATAATTTGGGTTTACATGAGAGTAATTATGAAATTTCCGATTCAACCTGGAAGGAGACGTTGATGGTGATTAGTGAAATGAACGTACCGTTTATTATCACTGCACAAACGGAGAAACGAGGAAGAAAGGAGCACGAAATGTTGTGTTCACTTTTGGGGAAGAAAATTAATTGGGAAATTTCGGAGAAAAATCCCTATGGAAGTTTAATTCCCGAGAGAGATTTCGAAACGGAGAGATTGTGCTATTCGAATAGTCATGTGATTGCCTATAGGGATTTTAATGAAGTGCATGAAGTGAAAATTGCCGAGAGTGTGGAGGAGGCTTCAGCAACTTCAAAGGGGAAGAAGAAGAAAAATAAGGGAGGAAAAGGTAAAAATTCTGCCACGAAGGAATGTCAAATTGAGAAGGAAGCAAAGGAAAAAGAAGTAACAGAGCTGAAGAAAGAAGAGAAAAAATGCGTCGAGGATTTAGACAACAAGGCACAAGCTGTTGTTGTCAATGAAGAAATAGTGAAGGAGAATGTACAACTACACGAGGAAAATAAAGTACTTCAGGAGAAATTAAATCTTGTGCAGGAAAACGATCGGCTTAAGGATGAACTAAAAAAGCTTAAAATTTAAAATTAAGCAAATTACTTGAAAATCTTTAAGCGACAAAAGATTTCAGTTTATATTTAGAAATATATAAATCTAATTTTTACTTATTGAAAATTCATTCTTATCTATCTGAAGTAAAAAACAATATTTTTATTCACTATTTTACATACTAAGATAATGAAAATTATTTTTCACTTCAGATAATTTAAAATTAATCTCAAAAGAATAACTTTTCCAAACATAAACAATTTTTATTAACTATTTTACATGCTTAAATAGTTAATTAAAATTGTTTTTCACTTTAGATAATTCAAAATGAATCTCGAAAGAAAAACTTTCCCAAACGCAAACAATTCTTATTAACTATTTTACATGCTAAATAATTATTTAAAATTGTTTTTCACTTCAAATAATTCAACATGAATCTCAAAAGAAAAACTTTACCAAACAAATATTTTCCAAACCTATATTTTTTTCCCCTGCCTAAGGTCTGCGTCACATATTTTGAATTAATTCCTTCCTTCTAATTTGAATCGTCAGAAAATTTTCATTTTTCTATATTTACAGAGTTTGTTAAAATATATAGAATCTATTTTTTTTTTATTTTTTGCGAAACAGTATTTTTGGTTTATTTTGTTATATTAACCAAGTTCTGAGTATTATGAAAATACTTGTAATTGTAATTCAAGAAAGGGAAAACTTGAATGTATTAAGAAAACTTGTGTTCAATAAAGTTATATACTTTCATAAAAAATTCAATTACCAATTACCAATTACCAATTTTCATTACCAATTTTCATATCTATATCCATTTTCCACTTATCTGATTGAGATTTTAATATTAATATAATATAATAATAATAATATGAATATTATATTTATTTATTTATAACATTGGCGGGAAAAACCTTGTCGTATAATGATAATCACTAATTTATTTAAAAGACTGTATAATTAGTTTGGATATTTTGAGAAGAAATTCAATTAATTTCAATAATAGAATGTTTGAACAAATTTCTGGAAATTAGTTTTAAAATTTAGTTATTTTCAAAATTTTTTTTTAAATTATTGGAAAGAATTCATTTATAAAAATTTTAATACATACAATTTTTCGAAAGAGCTCAATTATTTTTTAGAAAATTAACAAGAATTTAATTATATTCAATAAAATTTTAATAAAATTTATCTAAAAAATTCAATTATTCGAAAAAATTTTAATAAACAAATATGTTTATTACCAAGGTATTATTTATTATTTCTTCGAAAGAATTCAATTATTTTCAAAGATTTTAATAAAATTCCTTTAAAAAAATTCAAATATTCTCCATAAAAATTTGTATTACCTAAATTTCTCGATAGAATTTAATTTTCAAAATTTTAGAGAAAATTCTTTTAAACTATTCAATTATAATTATTTTCAGAAAATTTTAATAAAACTTCTCGAACGGATTCAATTATTTTAAATAGAATTTCTATTAAATTTTTCGAAAGAATTTAATTATTAATAAATATTTAATAAAACTTTTCGAAACAATTCAATTATTTTTATATTTTCACAAAAATTCAATAATGATTTCCAAAAATTGTAAGAAAAAATTTCTATTCAATTATTTTGAATAATTTTTGTCAAATTTCACTGAAAAAATCAATTTTTTAAAAATTTAATAAAATTCTTAAGAAAAATTCAATTAATTTTAATAGAATTTTTATTAAATTTATTTTAAAAAAAATTTAAGAAAATTCTTCCAAATAATTCAATTATTTTTTATTCCTTGAATTTTTATTAAATTCCTGAAAAAAATTTTAAGAAAATTCTTTCAGACAATTCAATTAATTTCGATACAATTTTATTAAAATTTCTCTCAAGAATATTAAATTATTTCGAATAATTTTTAGAAAATTCAACGCAGAAATTCAATTATTTTTAAAAATTTTCATGTTCTCCAACAAATTCAATTATTTTATAAATAATAATTTCTATTCAATTTTTGGAAAGAATTTGATTATTTTCAAAATTTTAAAGAAATTTTTTTCAATCTATGTATTCAATTATTTTTATATTTTATATATTGTCAGAAATTCAATTTTTTTTTAAATTTTAAAAAAATTTACCGAAGATATTCAATTTGCTTTAATAGAATTTCTATTAAATTTTTCGAAGGAATTCAATTATTACCAAAAATTTTTATAAAATTCTTCGCAAAAATTCAATTATTTTCAATACAATTTTAATAAAATTTTACGAAAGAGTTCAATTATTTTTAATACGAATTTGAATTCTTCGCAAAAATTCAATTATTTTCAACACAATTTTAATAAAATTTTTCAAAAGAATTCAATTCTTTCTACAATTTTTTATAAAATTCTTCGCAAAAATTCAATTATTTTCAAAACAATTTTAATAAAATTTTTCGAAAGAATTCAATTATTTAGAAATTTTTTTATAAAATTCTTCGCAGAAATTCAATTATTTTTAAAAATTTTAATAAAATTCGTTGTAAGAATTTAATTATTTTCAAAAATTTAATAAATTCTTTGAAAAAATTTCAATAAATTGTCGTCGTCGTAATTAATTTATTTTGAAAATTGTTTATAAAATTATGTGCAAGAATTATTAAATTAGTTCATAAATAATAAATGGACAGAAGATAAGGAATAAAAAAATTAAATAAAATGATAATTAATAAAGAGTAAAATAATAATTAACAGAAAATCCTTAGTTGTAAATAATAATTAATAGTAAATAGATAAAATATTTTATTTATCATTAAAATAAAAAATAAATTACTTTTTTTTCTTTTCTCAAAAGAATTTCTTGCTGTGACTATTTTCTTACTTTTCTTTCTTTCCCCAAAAGAATTTCTTACTTTGACTAATTGACATTTAATAAAAAAATAAGATTTCAAATTTAAAAAACTCTTTTTATATATTTAAACTTCAAAAATAAAAATACTTTGAATAAGACGTTTACAGGTAATAAAAATTGTTCTCTCTTAGTCTTTTAAACTCATTTTTAAAATTTGATTCTTCAATTTTTCGTTTTCTTCCTTAAGTCGTAGATTCTCTTGAAGAATTTTATTCGTCTGCTGAAGTTTTTCATTATCCTTCAACAATTTCTCATTATTTTTCGCTTTCCCTTGATGATCGTGAGAATTTTCATTTACTGCTTTCTTCTGCGAATTCTTTGAATCACTATTATTTTTATTCAGTTTCAAATTTTTCTCTCCATTCATTTTCTCCGCTCCTTCAATTTTTCCCTCAACTTTTTTTAGCGACGAACTTTCACCTTTTTCTTTAACATCCACTTTTTTACTTCCACTTGTCACCGATGTCTTTGCCATTGAATTCTTATTCTTACCATTCGCGGTCTGATTTTTAATCTCCGAACAAGTAACTTTCTTGACAATTTTCCCAGCAGTGAATTTTTGATAAGCAACAAAATGACTATTCGAATAGCAAATTCTCTCGTTCTCGTAATTTCTCTCCGGCATTAAACTGCAATAGGGATTTTTCTCCAAATAATCGTAATTAATTGTTCTACCCAAAAGCGAGCAGAATATTTCATGATCCTTCTTTGCTTGCGTCTCGCTCATTGCCGTCATGACAAATGGAATTTTTAATTCAACAATCTTCTTCACCGTCTTCTTCCATGTGCAATCGGCAATTTCCAAATTACTCTCATTTAGATTTAAATTAAAGCCAATTATTAAATCCGGCGTGTCGAAATCTTCACCCTCACAAAATTCATCGTAACGCTCATTAACTGAATTAAAACTCAATTCTTTGTCTTTAATTTCGTTGGAGTGACAGAAATTAAAGGGTTCCTTACTTTGAAAATCATCGAAGCATTCATTAATTTCCAATCCAATGAAATCGATGAATAGATATTTTAAATTTTTAAACCAATACAAAATTGTATTCCAATAATCGACATTATAAAATTCATCATTAATTGCACCAATAACGTGAATTGTGAATACATCGGGAACGGGAATTTTCAATTTTTCCACTAAATAAATTATTGTCATTGGTCGTGTTATAAAATCAGAGAGAACAGTTTTATGTAAATTTTTCTCCGCTCCCTTTAATGAACCGTTGGATAATTTGAAATGTAAATCAATAAATTGATTCATATTCGTTGGTAAATGTTGATGATTTTTATTTAACGTTGATGACGATACGTTTAATTCGTCTTGAAGTTTCTTCTTATTACGTTCGAAGTTCAAATTCATTTGGAAATTGTCGCAGAGATTTTTGTGTTCAACGTTGTCGCGATGAATTTTGCACAAGCTCACCTAGAAAATAAATAAATTAATGAGTTAACAAATACAGAGTTGCCAGAATAATTTAATTTTCCTTTTCCCTGATTTCCAGAAAAAATTTTCATTTTTTCCCAGACTCTTCAAAATTATTTTTCATCATTTCAATTCATTTATTATTTTCCACAATTTTTAACTCAAATTCTTTAAATCAATTATTTTTAAAAAATTTTAAAAAGTTCTATGAGAATTTTTAAATACTTGTTTACGATTCAATTCTACAAAATTAAATATAAATTAAAAAATAAAAACTTCAAATAATTTCAAAAAAACTTCAATTAAACTTTTTCAAAAAAGTTAATTATACAGAATTATTAGTTAAAAGTATGAAAAATTCAGATTTTCAACGATTTTGATTTGAAACAGTTTTCCACGAAAACTCTACGAGAATTTAATTATTTAAATAGAAAAATAAATAATTTATTGAATAATTGAATGTTTCTTAAAATTGAATTCTCATAAAGAATTGTATCAACAAACTTTTAAATAATTGAATTCTTCCGATGAATTTTAATAAAATTTTTAAGAAACATTACATTTTTCGAGAAATTTTATTAAAATTGTATTAAAAATAATTGAAATTCAGCGATGAGTTTTATTATTTAAATGAAAATATAATTAAAAGTTTGCGTAAAATTTTATTACATTTTTTTTTTTGAATAATTGAATTCTTTTTGAAAATTTTATTAAAGAAATTAATATCATGAAAATCATTTAATTGAGAAAATTTTTTAAAAATAATAATTGAAATTTTTCCAAGAATTGTATAAAAATTTTGAAAATAATTGAAATTTTTCCAAGAATTTTATAAAAAATTTTGAAAATCATTGGATTTTGGAAAATTGAATTTTTAACAAAGATAATTGAAATTTTGACGAGACTTTTTTTCTAAACTTTAAATATAATTGAATTTCTGCAAAGAATTTTCATACTTTTGAAAATAATTGAATTTCTGCAAACATTTGTAACTTCTTAGAATTTTTTTTAGTGTTTTTAACTAAAATTCTTCTCTTAATCAATTTCGTTTAATCATTTTTCTCCTAAATTATTTTCTGGAATTGCTCAAGAAAAGTTTTCTCTATATTAATTATTTTTAATAATTTTTCTCCAAAAAAATGTTTAATATTTCAATTCAATTATATTTTCTAGAATTTTTAGATAAAATTCTTTTCTAAATCAATTATTTTTATTCATTTTTTTCTACTAAATTATTTTCAAGATTTCAATTCAATTACTTTCTAGAATTTTTAATTAAAATTCTTTTCTAAATCAATTTCTTTTTATTCTTCTCAAAAATTAATTTCAAGTTTTTAATTCAATTATTTTTTAGAATTTTTAATTAAATTTCTTCACTAAATCAATTATTTTTAATCATTTTTAATGAACTTCTTTGAGAATTTAATTATTTAAAGAAAAATTTCTAAAATTTCAATTTGTTATCATTTGTGAAATTTAATTATTTGTAATTATATTAATTATTTTCGGTAATAAAATTACCTTCAAAAAATTTTAATTAACATTTTTTTAAAATCTAATTTTCAAAAATTTTCGAAAATTTAAAACTGTTTTTAATTTCATTTTTTTCAAAGATTTTTCAATTTTATTTTCATAAAAATAAGTTAAACAATTAAAGTAAATTAAAAAGCAAGTTTTTTAAATATTAAAAAATTTATTTACTTCAAAAATTTACTAAATTTTTAAAAATTTAAATTAAAATTTCTGAAAAAACAGTTTTTTTTAAAGAATATTTAATGCCTATTAAAAATTAAAAAATAATTGAATTCTTTCCAAGAATTTTATTAAAATTTTTCAAAATAATTAAATTCTTTAGAGAAATTTCATTAAAATTGTAGGAAAATAATTAAGTTTTAACAAATTTTCTAAAGATAATTGAATTCCTGTGCAAATGGGAAAATAATTGAATTGTTTTCAAGAATTTTTCTACAATTTTTGAAAATTATAAAATTATTTCGTGGAATTTAATAAAAACTGTAATGAAAATAATTGAATTCTCTTGAGAAATTTTATTAAATTTTTTCAAATAATTTAATTATGTCGAAGAATTTTATTAAAATTTTATTGAAACTACTTAATTGAATTTTTTTTTTGAAGAGTTTTATGGAAATTTTTCAAAAGAATTAAAATTCTTTCGAGAAATTCAATTAAAATTCAATTAAAAATAATTGAATTCTTATAAACTTTATAAAAATTTTTGTAAATAATTAAATTTCTGCGAAGAATCTTAATATTATTAAAAATAATTGAGTTCCTTATTAATAATTGAGTTCCTTATTTTTCAAAATAATTGAATTCCTTAATAAAATTCTATAAAAATTGTATTGAAATTGAATTACTGCGAAAATAATTGAATTGTTTTTTAAAATTTGGAAAATAATCAAATTTTCTGAAGGAATTTAATAAAAATTGCATTGAAAATAAATCAATTCTTAGAAAGTATTTTATCAGAATGTTTGAAAATAATTGAATTCTTTCGAAGAATTTTATTAACTTTTTTAAAAATAATTGAATGATTTTGAGAAATTTTATTAAAGTTTTTGAAAATAAAATTGAGTAATAATAATTTATTTTTTTTTAAATTTGAATAAAAAATTTCTCAGAAATTGAAGCTGATACCTATTTAAAAATTAAAATTCTAATTTTAATTTTGAAATTTAAAATTCACGTTTTCAAATCTACAATTACGACCCTAGAAAAAGTGAAAACTTCTCAAGAAAAAAAAAAATACTTACACCGCATTTACAAGTTTTCAGCACGCTCAAATCGCTCTCGTGACAAACAAAGCATGTCTTCGGGAAAAAGAACATTTCCTTCTCAAAATTCTGTAGATTTCGATTCAATTTTAATTTCGCTTGTTTCAAAAATTTAATTTTCGCCTCGAACCATGCTTTCTCATTTTTAATTCCCAATTTATCGAAAAGATGTGGCGTTCCTTTTTCACTCAACATTCGCAGAATAACTCGACAAATCTCCTTATGCTCCGCTTGATTTTCCTTCATATGCTCATTGCCGCAATAAAAAATCATTTTACATCTCGTACAAGTAACATTTGCATTCGAACTTTTACAAACATGACAAACTCCTGGATAAAATTGTCTAATAATATAATTACCAGAAATTTTCTTCCCCTCAACATTCCGCAATATTTGCGTTTCTACTTTTGTAATATTCGCCGCTGGTTTCTTCGCACATCCAAAATTTTTCGTTATATTTTCCTCCGATTTTTTCGTAACAGTTTCCTCCGATTTTCTCGTAACATTTTGCTCCAATTTTCTCGCAACATTTTCAACAGGTTTCGCCGTTGGTTTTCCAATCAGAATATATTGCGAATGCTTCGACACTCGCCAATCCTCCCAATCGCGATACAAATACAATGAGGAAAAATCATTGTGACCATTGTAAATAATCGTCATATTTGAGCAAATAGCTTGAAAATAATTTTTCAAAGTTTTCATCGTGACATCCGTATCGGTTGTCAATGCAATTGGACACGTTAATTTTGGCCACATTTTCTTCACCGACAAAAATGATTGATAAGACCACTTAAATTCCTCAATTGGATTAATATTGTTGAACAATGCAAGATCAATTGTTTTAAAATCAAAATTCGACACTTCAGCGAAACGTTGAACGATTAATGTTTTATTCTTCTTATCGCATTTGGGACACAATGATAATTTACTAGTTTTTCTCATATCGCATTTATCGACTAGAATTGTCAAACTTTGCAAATTATCAACAAGATGAAGTATAATTTCACAAAATTGCTCGATAATATTAAATTTATCGCGTAAATTAATGTAAACGATGAGTTTCGTTAATTTGGGTATTTTTAATTTTTGTAGAACGCCAAAAATTGTCAGTGGATAGAAAATGAGCATTGATGCGATATTCGTTAATTTCTCGTTGAATTTAAATTTCATTGTTGCATTTAAATATTCCTTGGTTGTTGTTGGTGATTTTTTTAATTTATTTGGAAATAGAAATAATGATTCATAGAGATAACCGGCTGCTTGAAGGCGAAGTGATTCGTCACATTCGAGACTGTGACAAGTGTTGATTTGTGAGCATAATTTATTGTGTTCGGATGTTTGGGGATGTTTTTGACAGAACGATGCCCACGGGCAATTGGGGCAATTTGTTAAATTTGCTTGCCGCGTGTCGTAACAAATGAAACAACAACGTGGATAGTGTAACATTTGTGATTCGTAATTATCCAATTCACGACCCATTATTGTTGTTATACGATCCCACATGACAATTCGTGAATTTGTCCATTCGTTTAGTGAGCATCCACGTAAATCCTCGTAGAGATGAGTGAGGTGTTTTACTTTTGTTATGCAGGATATGACGCGGCATAATTCCTTGTGCTTTGGCCAATGTTCCTTTTGGTGTTCCTCGCCGCAATAGGAAATCATTTGACAGCGACTGCAACGTTTTAGTGACGTTCTTTTTTTACAAATGATACAATCATTTGGATAGAAGACGAGCGTCATTTTTCCCTTTATATTCCACGTTTCAAACAATCTTTTCTTTTTGTTTTCTTTTCTCCTCTCCTTCTATATATTTCTCTGAAATTAATAAAAAAAAAATATTTACTAAATAATAATTAAAAATAATATTATATAAATAAAATAATAAATTATATAGAAATATTAAAAAATAAATAATAAAAATTAAAATAAATGAGAAAATTAATTGAAATTTAAACAGGGTTACCACACATCAGGTAATTCAGGAAAAAGTCAGGGAAATTAGGGAAAGTCAAGAATTTTTATCAAAGTACAGGTAAAAATTAAATTTTTATACAAAATTTTTTATAACAAAAAAACTTTCAATTTTTACTATTTCTGCTAATAATTTATTTCTAAATAACCAAATTCTTGAATAACTATCATAAAATATTATAGTTTAGAAATTATTTAATGAATAATTTGACTTAAATTTTTCACAATTAATTGAATTTTGAAAGGTTTCAACTTGGAATTTTAGAAAATTTCAATTTTCAATGAATTTAATTAGAAAGTTCAAACTTAGATTTTTGAAAAATTTTAATAATTAAAATTCTTCTGAAATTAGTTGAATATTTTAATATATATTTAATTAATTATTAAAAATAAAGAAAAAAATGTCAGTTAAAAACACCAAAAAAAAATTGAATTTTGGAAAAGTTGAAAATAACCCCAGAAATTCGATTACATATTTTCAAAAGTAATAAAATTCTTCGGAGAAATTCAATTATGTTCAAAAATTAAATAAAAATTCTCGTCAAAATTGCAACTATCTTTGTAAAAAATAAAACTCTTCTTCAAAATTCAATAATTTTCAAAAAATTTAATAAAATTCATTTTAAGAATTCAATTATTTTCCTAAATAATAAAGCTCATCGCAGAATTTCAATTACTTTTAAAACTTAAATGAATTTCTCGAAATATGCAATTATTCTTAAAAATTTTATTAAAAATCTTCAAAAGAATTCAATTATTTGAATATTTTCATAAATAATAAAATTTTTTAGTTACAGGAATTCAATTATTTTCAAAAATAATAAAACTCATCGCAGAATTTTAATTACTTTTAATACAATTCTAATTGATTGCCTCGAAAAATATAATTATTTAATAAGTTATTTATTTTTCTACTTAAATAATTGAATTCTTGTACAATTTTCTAATAAAAATTCATTTGAAAATGAATTTAAGTAAAAATTTTTAATAATAATTGAATATTAATAGCATTATAGCGTGAATTTTTAGAAATAATTGAATTTTGAAAAGGTTTCAAATTAAAATCTTTGAAAATTTAAATTTCTCATACTTTTAACTAACAATTCTGTAAAATTAATTTTTTTTTAAAAAGTTTAATTGATTTTTTTCTGTAATTATAGGTTTGAATTTGAAATTTTTGAAAATCTTATTTCCTATAGAAAAATAATAATGTTTAAACATATTTATTTAAAAATTTTATTTAATTATCCTCGTAATAATTTAAATTCTAAATTTTTCTAAAATTCAATTATTTACAAATTGTTTATAAATTTCTTAGCAATAATTCAATTATTTACATGAATAATAACATTTTTTTCAGGGATTCAATTATTTTCAAAAATAATGAAAATCTTTTTAGGAATTCAATTATTTCCATAAATAATAAAACTCATTGAATATTTGATTTGAATTGAATTGAAATTAATTACGATGTACCTTAAATACTTTTCAAATTGCATGTTTTTTATTGAATTGAATACTAAAAAAGCAAATTAGAATAAAAAATAGAACAAAAAAATTCATGCAATAAACAAAATAAAATAAAAAATAAAATAATTAAAATCCTATTTTAAGCTTAGTTCACAAGGGTCTTATTTCTATTTTTGTTTTATTTCAAAACAATTTTTTCTTCTCAAAAAAAAAATTAAAAACAATAATTAAAAAAAGTCACTTTTCCATGTTTTCCTTTCTTTCAAATTTTTCTTAATATTTTTACAAGAAATAATTAATTATCAAATTATTTTGAGGTTATGTTAAAAGATCTAATCGCATACCTAAAAATTTTTATAAGCATTAAATAATTGCAATTGCGACTTACAAAAAATTATTTTCACTCTTTCCTCAATTTTACAACACTGAATTCTTTTTGCACTGTTCATATATTGATTTGAAAATAATTACAAGTAGCAAGAAATTATCTTATCTTTATCAAAAAGCTTCTAAAGCTTAAAAGCATTAAAAGTTATTGAAAAGGCTCAAATATGTTTACAATGTTTACGAAACAAAGAAAAATATAATTTATATATAGAGAAAATGTATTATTGTTATAAGGTACAAAAATTATTTTCTTATTTACTAAATTCGCAGATTATTTCATCCAAAATGTTACCACTTTGTTATTATTTTAATGATTTTAATAATCACACTGACAATAACAAACATTTTCTCTAGATTTTATCGTTCGTATATACGCTTCGTTAAATTGGAGATAAAAATATAATAATCAAAATGTAAAAATATGTTTATAACTTACCTTTGTATGCGAAAAAAATCCCCTTCTGTTTATTATAAACAATCGCCAAGCACGTTTTTTTAATTAAACAAATTTAGATGAAAATATTTTTTCACTATTTTCAAAACATCTATGTTGCTTGTTGTAGATGGACGATAACTTATACCACTCACCGTAAAAATATTCCGACTGTATGTTGATACCCGCCACCGGTGGCGCTGATAGTTTATCCAAAGGTGAAAATGCTCAATTACATTGTGAACCTACCTTTAACTTGCAGACTCGTCAAGATTTGTCCAAAGAATGCAATCTACTTTCGTACTTTTTTAATGACTGTTGATTGTCACGTGTTTGGTTCTTTCGTTCTTTTGTTTTCTTTTTTAACGTTAAATGTAATTATCAGAAAAAAAGGAAAATCGGAGTACCTAATTGACAAAGAAAGAAACATTTATCAAAAACCACGGTAAGATACCTATTATAATTATTGATATTTTAATGTAGAAAATTATAAAATTCATAAGAATGGAATTATACAGAATCATAAATAAAAATATAACAATAACAGTTATAATTAAAAATATTAATTAAAATCTAATTATACCTGTAATTAAAAATATTTAAAAGATTTCTCAATTTATATAGTCAAAATAGACTGTAATTAAAATATCATAATTTGGTTACTATTCGTCTATGTATAACTTTTTTTTTCCATAATAAAATCAATACCGCACTTGCCGGAAACAATTTATGATCATTTTTTAGCTATGTTCCAATCCATCAACTAGTCTTGGATCTTTAATTACTTATCTAAAGTCAAAAACAACTTTCATTATCAATTTCATAAACTAAACAATTAATATAAATTACTTTTGATTTCAATTAAAATTGTCAAGCAAATACTTTTCTTAACATAACCTATAATTTTTTTCCCGCGTAATTTCCACGAGGAAAATTACAAACAACAAGGTCTGTTCATAACTTTTTTTTAGATTTCAGCCACGAAAAGCTATTCTGTTTTTCTTTTTTGAGAATTTCCACTACTTTAAATTCGCTAATACTAGAAATCAAAAAACTATTCTCAATAATTGTAATCAAACTCTTTAAAACGATTCAATTATTTTGAAAAAATATTCGAAAATCAATTATTTTCAATATCTATAGTATTTTCGTAAAATTTTGCAAAACAATTCAATTATAAAAAAAAATTGATTAAATTCATTCAAAATTCAATTATTTTCATAAATAATAAACTTACCACAGGATTCAATCACTTTCACTAATAATATTTTTCATGGAAATTCAATTTTTTAGAAAAATTTTTGATAAAATTCTAAGCAAAAATTCAATTATTTTCATAATAATATAAAATATAATTCATCGCAGAATTTCAATTATTTTTAATACAATTTTACAGGAATTGCTCAAAAAATGTAATTATTCTTAAAAATTGAATTTCAATTCCTCGAAAAATCAATTATTTAAAAAAATGCTTTTATAGAATTTTTTATGAAAGAATTCAATTATTTACAAAAATATTATAATTTTTCACAGGAATTCAATTATTTTCAAATATTTTAATAAAACTGTTCGAAAGAAATCAATTGATTTAAATACAATTTTAATTAAATTTTTTTGTAATAATTCAATTATTCTTTTAGATTTTAATAAAATTCTTCCCGAGAATTCAATTATTTTTAAAAGTAATAAATTTCTTTTTGGAAATTCAATTATTTTTAAAAGTAATAAATTTCTTCTTGGAAATTCAATTATTTTTAACAGTAATAAATTGCTTCTTAGAAATTCAATTATTTTTGAAAATTCTAATAAAATTTTTCCCAAGAATTCAATTATTTTCATAAATAATAAAACTCATCGAAGAATTTCAATTATTTTTTATACTATTTTAAATAAATTAAACGAAAAATTCAATTATTTTCAAAAATAACGTATTTCACAAGAATTCAATTATTTAAAATGTTTATACAATGTTTATAAAATTCTTATGAAGAATACAATTATTTTCAAAAATAACAAAATTTTTCATAGAAATTCAATTCTTTCTAAACATTTTAATAAAATTTTTCTCAATATTAATTCAATTACTTTGCAATGTAATTATTCTTAAAAATTTAATTTCAATTCCTTAAAAAAATCGATTATTTCAAAAAATGTATTTTTAAAATTCTTTGAAAGAATTCAATTATGATTTTTGTCAGTTTTGTGATTCAATTATTTTCAAAAGTAATAAAATTCTTCGAAGAAATTCAATTATTTTTAAAAATTTTAACAAATATCTTGTCAAGAATTCAATAATTATTTTTATAAATAGCAAAATTTTTCGCCAAAAATTCAATTATTTAAATAATAATAATAATTATTATTATTATTACTATTATTATTATTATTATTATTATTTAATTTATTTATTTTTTATATTATTTTTATTATTTAAAGTTTTTTGCAAAACTCAATTTTTTTTAATATTTACTATTTTCATAACATTTTTTTATCAAATAATTTAATTATTGAAAAAATAATAAAATTTCATTTAGGAATTGAATTATTTTCATCGCAGAATTTCAAATATATTCACACAATTTTAAATTTAAATTCCTTGAAAAATGCAATTATTCTTAAGAATTTTATTAAAACTTGACGAAAGAATTCAATTTTAAGAAACATTCAATTATTCAATAAAATAATAAAATTTGTTACAATAAGTCAAAAAAAAACTCAATCATCTTGATAAACAACAAAATTTTCCTCATAAAATCAATTATTTTAAGGAATTTTAATAAAATTTTTTTTCCAAAATTCAATTATTATGATGAATATCAAAATTCATCACAAGTATGAAGTATTCAATACTTTTGAAAAGTAATAAAAATACTCTGCAGAAATTAAATTATTTTCATAATTTTTTTAAAATTCTCGTCAAGAATTCAATTATTATCAAACATTTTGATAATATTCTTGACAAAATTTCAATTATTTAAACAAAATTAAATAAAATACTTCGTATGAATTCAATTATTTTTATAAATTATTATTTAAATTCTTTTCAAAAATTCAATTATTTAAAAAAAATTTAATAAAAATTTTTCAAAAAGTTTTGAATTATTTTCAAAAATTATTATAATATTCTGTATAATTCAAGAAATATTTCAGTAAATTTTAATTAAATTCCTTAAAAGAAATTAATTGTTTTTAAAAGTTGTTATAATAAAATTCTTCGTAAAAATTAAATTTTAAGAAACATTCAATTATTCAATAAATTATTTATTTGCATTTTATTTGTATTTATAATAATTGAATTCTCGTAGAATTTTCTAATAAAAATTAATTTTGTAATTTTAGATATTAATTGTTATGTTATTCACTGTCTGTTAAAATTTTAGATAATAATTTAATATTAAGAGCATTATTATAAAATAATAATTTTATCACTGTGTTATATAATTATAATTAATATAAAAACATGAAGAAATCGATCACTCCGAGTCGAAGACTCGGAGTTATCAATTTCTTCTTGTTTTATAATAATAAATATTCTTACAAGTTATCGAATTTCAAAAAGGTTTGAATTTGAATGTTTTGAAAAAATTTTAATTCCTACGGAAAAATATTAATTAAATATTTATTTAAAGATTGATTTAAAAATTAATTTAAAAAATTATCTAAAAATTTATTTAAAAATTTATTTAAAAATTTATTGAAAAATTTATTGAAAAATTTATTTACAAAATTTATTTATAAATTTATATATTTATTATTTATTTATAAATTTATTTAAAATTTTATTTAATAACTTATTTTTAAATTTATTTAAAAATTTATTTATGTTTTCAAATAATTTAACAATGAAAGAAATTCTTAAATAAATGTATTAGAACATGTTTCTCAGTAACTAATTATTTTTAGAGCGAATCAGAATATATTCTTTAGGGTCAGGGAAAAAGTCAAAATTCTGTCTGGAAATCAGGGAAAACTAAATTTAAATTTTTTTGGCAACCCTCAACTAGTTGTATAAATAAATCCATAAAATAAAAAATTTACATTCTTTACAATGGTAATATTACAAAAGTTTTAATTATTTGCAGAAATCGGGAATTCTAAGGAAAATGTCAAAATCTTTCTATCCAAACGAATGCCACGTTTGTAGCTCGAGAGCAACGCTAAAAAGATGCAGCCGCTGTCAACTGATATCATACTGCGGTGAAGCACATCAAAGAAATGACTGGACAAACCACAAGACATTTTGCGATGTAGTCTATCTAATAACGAGGGTCAACAATTTATCTCACATCTATGAGAATTCGAAAGGTTTCTCCATAAAGAAATGGACATCCGAACGAATGAACATGATTGGTCATGTCTCATCATTATTAGATCGTGATCTCTACTCGAATGAAATAGGAATGTTAAATTTTCCCCGCTCATGTATTGTGTGTCACGACACAAGACAGGAGAATCTCACAAATTGTCCCCACTGTCCATTGGTGTCATTTTGCAAAGAACATCCAATGACACCACAACACGAGGAGGAATGTTCGAAAATTAAGGACTGCTACAATTTTGAAATTGATTACGAGGATTTTTTGGAGAAAGCACTATTTATACTCTTCACTCTTCTCCATTTGAAGAAGAATCATCAAACAATAGTACCAACAAGCACAGCCGATTACCTGAATCAACTTCTCGAACCATCGATGAAAATTGACGATAAAACGAGAAGATATCTCTACGCACTTCTTGCGCCGTCTCTAAGTATTTTTAGCGCAATTCAAAAATTAAATTATCCCCTAACATCGAAACTGAAAATCAGCATCAAATCTCGTGATAATCTTAACGATATTCCACAGCATTGGGAGACTTTATTGCATCTACTTCCCAATGTTCAACATCTCACTATTATTCTCGACAGCGAACGAAGTGTTACAACCGAGCAGGACGTGGGACTCTGTGAAAAATGCACTGCAATGAAACGTAAATTAATCACAAGAACTCTATCCGATCTCGACACTGACGATTCATTCTCAATGAACTTGGCAGTCATCACAAATATGTCAGTGCCGAAAAATTGGGATTTCGAATGGTCGATAATTAGTCACATGTGGTCATTATTCAAGTGTCCCTTAATTTTCATTTTAAGCAAAGAATCACAAGTGAAACAATTGAGGAGAAAATTTAGATCCGACTCAAGATGGAAGGGTTTAATTTGCTACGATGGTCTCAATGAATTTGCCCCCTCATGTCCTTGTCGTTCGTCAGATGATTGGACAATCGTTGAGGACAAACAATTTCTATTGGTCATGAATGCTGTCGAGTCGAATTCAAGTAGAATGAAGAAAAAATTTGCAAATAAACATAAGAGGACAAATGATGCTGCTACAAATTCATCAGTCAAAAATCATGTTCTTCCATCTGTACCGGTAAAAAATGAAAATCAGGAAAATAAGAAAACTAATGAAGAAATTCCAAAGAGTTCTAATTACAAGAAAAATGTACAATTTGCTACTGCAAGTGGAAGTACAGTTGAGGATAAAATTCCCGAACTTGACGATATTAAGAAAACGGATGCAGAAATAGTTGCGAAAAATGTTGATTACAAGGAAATTGAAAATCAGAATAAACTTCTATTGAAAAAAAATATGCTACTTCAGAAACAAATTGATGATGTCATTAAGGAGAATATTAATCTAAAGGACGAGAACGATCAACTGAAGGATAAAATTTTGAAATTGGAAATTTAATTTCAAAATTTAAGCTCAATGATAGCAAAGAATAATCATAATTTCCAACTCCCTATATTAACATAATTTTACAGGAAAAAGTTGCTTATATTATTTTTGAAATATTTTCTGCGTTTTGTTTCATTCATTACATATATTAAATTTTAAAATATAACAAAAACAATAATAACAATAATAAAAATTATCATAACAAAAACAATAATAACAATGATGAAAATAATAATAAAAGTAATAATAATTTTGTGCAAAAATTACTATTTCTAAAAATTGCACAACTGGACATTTCAAGTTTGAGAAAAAATTATATTTTATAAATATGATACTTCATTATTATTATAATATAATATAAATATTATATAATAATAATAATAATAATAATAATAATAATAATAAAGTATCATATTTATAAAGTATAATTATAATTTAATTTAGTGTTAAAAACAATTGACTCAGTTTGAGTTTATGTCAATGGATTGAAAACTTCAAAACTTAAACTTTAAAAAAGTTAAAAATAATACTCAATTTTTTTTTTGTATCAATTTTTTTGATTATTCGAAACAAATTAAAAATTTAGTCGAATTCATATAATATTATAACTGATCAATTCACTGAAATTAAAAAATGTTAACATTTTTTTTTTTTTTTGTTAAAAAAACGGATTAAAAATTTGTACTTAATATTGAAAATAGTTATTTTGTTCAGAGGAATATTTTTGTAATAAATCAAAGAACAAATTTTGTACTTCCTATAGATGTAGAATTATTTATATCTATTCTTTAATATTTATTTAATACTCCTTATTTTGAAATAAAAAAAAAATTTTTGTATTTTTAGTTTTATAAGTTATTTTCATTCCTTGTTTTATTCCTTATTGTACTTTCTTTCCCTACATTTGTACAATTATTAAAAAAAGTAATCGTTCTTATATCTGAAATAGAAAAAATTTAATTTTAAAATTAAATATTTTAATTTTAATTTTAAAATGAATTATTAAATATTACTTTATTTTAACTTCAAAATCGAACTACTATTGAAAAAGTGAAATAAAATTCTCTACTCTTCAGAATTATCTTGGGCTCAGTCCCTACTAGAACTCTGGTAATTTTCAGATGATTAGAATTATTATATTTGGAGAAATAAATTTTTATTTTCGTTATTACCAAATTTTGATTGTCTGATGGCGTACGGGTGGACCTGCTACTACTTAAAAAATGAAATAAAATTCTCTAATCTTCAAGATTAAGTAGGGCTCACTCCCTACTAGAACTCTGGTAATTTTCAGATGATTAGAATTATTATATTTGGAGAAATAAATTTTTATTTTCGTTTTTACCAAATTTTGATTGTCTGATGGCGTACGGGTGGACCTGCTACTACTTAAAAAATGAAATAAAATTCTCTAATCTTCAAGATTAAGTAGTACTCAGTCCCTACTAGATTTCTGGTAATTTTCAGATGATTAGAATTACTAAAATCGGAAGAAATAAATTTTTATTTTCGTTTTTACCAAATTTTGATTGTCTGATGGCGTACGGGTGGACCTGCTACTACTTAAAAAATGAAATAAAATTCTCTAATCTTCAAGATGAAGTAGTACTCAGTCCCTACTAGAACTCTGGTAATTTTCAGATGATTAGAATTATTATATTTGGAGAAATAAATTTTTATTTTCGTTTTTACCAAATTTTGATTGTCTGATGGCGTACGGGTGGACCTGCTACTACTTAAAAAATGAAATAAAATTCTCTAATCTTCAAGATTAAGTAGTACTCAGTCCCTACTAGATTTCTGGTAATTTTCAGATGATTAGAATTACTAAAATCGGAAGAAATAAATTTTTATTTTCGTTTTTACCAAATTTTGATTGTCTGATGGCGTACGGGTGGACCTGCTACTACTTAAAAAATGAAATAAAATTCTCTAATCTTCAAGATTAAGTAGTACTCAGTCCCTACTAGAACTCTGGTAATTTTCAGATGATTAGAATTATTATATTTAGAGAAATAAATTTTTATTTTCGTTTTTACCAAATTTTGATTGTCTGATGGCGTACGGGTGGACCTGCTACTACTTAAAAAATGAAATAAAATTCTCTAATCTTCAAGATTAAGTAGTACTCAGTCCCTACTAGATTTCTAGTAATTTTCAGATGATTAGAATTACTAAAATCGGAAGAAATAAATTTTTATTTTCGTTTTTACCAAATTTTGATTGTCTGATGGCGTACGGGTGGACCTGCTACTACTTAAAAAATGAAATAAAATTCTCTAATCTTCAAGATTAAGTAGTACTCAGTCCCTACTAGAACTCTGGTAATTTTCAGATGATTAGAATTATTATATTTAGAGAAATAAATTTTTATTTTCGTTTTTACCAAATTTTGATTGTCTGATGGCGTACGGGTGGACCTGCTACTACTTAAAAAATGAAATAAAATTCTCTAATCTTCAAGATTAAGTAGTACTCAGTCCCTACTAGAACTCTGGTAATTTTCAGATGATTAGAATTATTATATTTGGAGAAATAAATTTTTATTTTCGTTTTTACCAAATTTTGATTGTCTGATGGCGTACGGGTGGACCTGCTACTACTTAAAAAATGAAATAAAATTCTCTAATCTTCAAGATTAAGTAGTACTCAGTCCCTACTAGAACTCTGGTAATTTTCAGATGATTAGAATTATTATATTTGGAGAAATAAATTTTTATTTTCGTTTTTACAAAATTTTGATTGTCTGATGGCGTACGGGTGGACCTGCTACTACTTAAAAAATGAAATAAAAATCTCTAATCTTTTAGATTGAGTAGGGCTCACTCCCTACTAGAACTCTGGTAATTTTCAGATGATTAGAATTATTATATTTAGAGAAATAAATTTTTATTTTCGTTTTTACAAAATTTTGATTGTCTGATGGCGTACGGGTGGACCTGCTACTACTTAAAAAATGAAATAAAAATCTCTAATCTTTTAGATTGAGTAGGGCTCAGTCCCTACTAGAACTCTGGTAATTTTCAGATGATTAGAATTACTAAAATCGGAAGAAATAAATTTTTATTTTCGTTTTTACCAAATTTTGATTGTCTGATGGCGTACGGGTGGACCTGCTTCTACTTAAAAAATGAAATAAAATTCTCTAATCTTCAAGATTAAGTAGTACTCAGTCCCTACTAGAACTCTGGTAATTTTCAGATGATTAGAATTATTATATTTGGAGAAATAAATTTTTATTTTCGTTTTTACAAAATTTTGATTGTCTGATGGCGTACGGGTGGACCTGCTACTACTTAAAAAATGAAATAAAAATCTCTAATCTTTTAGATTGAGTAGGGCTCACTCCCTACTAGAACTCTGGTAATTTTCAGATGATTAGAATTATTGCATTTGGAGAAATAAATTTTTATTTTCGTTTTTACAAAATTTTGATTGTCTGATGGCGTACGGGTGGACCTGCTACTACTTAAAAAATGAAATAAAATTCTCTAATCTTCAAGATTAAGTAGTACTCAGTCCCTACTAGAACTCTGGTAATTTTCAGATGATTAGAATTACTAAAATCGGAAGAAATAAATTTTTATTTTCGTTTTACCAAATTTTGATTGTCTGATGGCGTACGGGTGGACCTGCTACTACTTAAAAAATGAAATAAAATTCTCTAATCTTCAAGATTAAGTAGTACTCAGTCCCTACTAGAACTCTGGTAATTTTCAGATGATTAGAATTACTAAAATCGGAAGAAATAAATTTTTATTTTCGTTTTTACCAAATTTTGATTGTCTGATGGCGTACGGGTGGACCTGCTACTACTTAAAAAATGAAATAAAAATCTCTAATCTTTTAGATTGAGTAGGGGTCACTCCCTACTAGAACTCTGGTAATTTTCAGATGATTAGAATTATTATATTTGGAGAAATAAATTTTTATTTTCGTTTTTACCAAATTTTGATTGTCTGATGGGGTACGGGTGGACCTGCTACTACTTAAAAAATGAAATAAAATTCTCTAATCTTCAAGATTAAGTAGTACTCAGTCCCTACTAGAACTCTGGTAATTTTCAGATGATTAGAATTATTATATTTGGAGAAATAAATTTTTATTTTCGTTTTTACCAAATTTTGATTGTCTGATGGCGTACGGGTGGACCTGCTACTACTTAAAAAATGAAATAAAATTCTCTAATCTTCAAGATTAAGTAGTACTCAGTCCCTACTAGAACTCTGGTAATTTTCAGATGATTAGAATTATTATATTTGGAGAAATAAATTTTTATTTTCGTTTTTACCAAATTTTGATTGTCTGATGGCGTACGGGTGGACCTGCTACTACTTAAAAAATGAAATAAAATTCTCTAATCTTCAAGATTAAGTAGTACTCAGTCCCTACTAGAACTCTGGTAATTTTCAGATGATTAGAATTACTAAAATCGGAAGAAATAAATTTTTATTTTCGTTTTTACCAAATTTTGATTGTCTGATGGCGTACGGGTGGACCTGCTACTACTTAAAAAATGAAATAAAATTCTCTAATCTTCAAGATTAAGTAGTACTCAGTCCCTACTAGAACTCTGGTAATTTTTAGATGATTAGAATTATTATATTTGGAGAAATAAATTTTTATTTTCGTTTTTACAAAATTTTGATTGTCTGATGGCGTACGGGTGGACCTGCTACTACTTAAAAAATGAAATAAAATTCTCTAATCTTCAAGATTAAGTAGTACTCAGTCCCTACTAGAACTCTGGTAATTTTCAGATGATTAGAATTACTAAAATCGGAAGAAATAAATTTTTATTTTCGTTTTTACCAAATTTTGATTGTCTGATGGCGTACGGGTGGACCTGCTACTACTTAAAAAATGAAATAGAAATCTCTAATCTTTTAGATTGAGTAGGGCTCACTCCCAACTAGAACTCTGGTAATTTTTAGATGATTAGAATTATTATATTTGGAGAAATAAATTTTTATTTTCGTTTTTACCAAATTTTGATTGTCTGATGGCGTACGGGTGGACCTGCTACTACTTAAAAAATGAAATAAAATTCTCTTATCTTCAAGATTAAGTAGTACTCAGTCCCTACTAGAACTCTGGTAATTTTCAGATGATTAGAATTATTATATTTGGAGAAATAAATTTTTATTTTCGTTTTTACCAAATTTTGATTGTCTGATGGCGTACGGGTGGACCTGCTACTACTTAAAAAATGAAATTTAATTCTCTAATCTTCAAGATTAAGTAGTACTCAG